ATTTAGGTTGGATAAGTACATGAGTGGGAGGGGTTGGATTTGAGTGGGACTTTCACATCAGAGCTTATTTCTTGGGTGGCATTGAAAATTGGGTTGGGCAAATGTTTTGTTAGTGGGATGAATTGTAAAGGACCTGCCTAGTATGGGCCAACAGGCCTCCTGCAGTGTTCCTCCTTTCTTATGTTCTTATGTTCCTCTGCACTTCTTTCTTCTCCAGGTGCATACACACTTACTATAACCCACTTTTCACATCCAATCTTTATTTTACTCCACATAATCCTTGAATTAATACATTTATAGTCCCTCTTTTCCTGCCATAGCTTATCCTTCAACATTATTGCTACTCCTTCTTTAGCTCTAACTCTGTTTGAAACCCCTGACCTAATCCCATTTATTCCTCTCCATTGAAACTCTCCCACCCCCTTCAGCTTTGTTTCACTTAAAGCCAGGACATCCAGCTTCTTCTCATTCATAACATCCACAATCATCTCTTTCTTATCATTTGCACAACATCCACGCACATTCAGACTTCCCACTTTGACAATTTTCTTCTTATTCTTTTTAGTAATCTTTACAGGAAAAGGGGTTACTAGGCCATTGTTCCCGGCATTTTAGTTGACTTTTACAACACGCATGGCTTACGGAGGAAAGATTCTTATTCCACTTCCCCATGGATATAAAAGGAAAAGTAATAAGACCAAGAACTATTAAGATAAAATCAAAGAAAACTAAGATGAGTGTGTATAAATAAACGTGTCCATGTATGTGTAGTGTGACCTAAGTGTAAGTAGAAGTAGCAAGACATACCTGTAATCTTGCATATTTATGAGACAGACAAAAGACACCAGCAATCCTACCATCATGTAAAACAATTACAGGCTTTTGTTTTACATTCACTTGGCAGGACGGTAGTACCTCCCTGGGTGGTTGCTGTCTACCAACCTACTACCTATATCCATAGTAATTCTCACTCTTTTTGCTGTAGGGTTGGCACTAGAAGCTTTCTTGGGGCCCATGGTGACTTATTTTGCAGATGAAATCACTAAAAACGCTGTGATAATATGAAATGTTCTGATTGTATGTTTGGATGGGACCGTGGTGGCTGGCACCCACGGGACAAGTGAGGCGTGCTCAGGCCACAAGTGGACGCGTCTCAAACGGAACAAAACGCATTAGTCAAGTTTTTTAGCGCTAGTTGAGGCAAAATTTTTGCGTTAAAATGTATCGCTAGTCGGATTTAACGTTATACGATGCCATCGTTGGTCGAGGGTCCACTGTATATACATTCTAATATTCACTCCAGTTGATGAATCCAAACTGCATTGCACACCAAGACCTAAAGGACTTTCTTGAGAGCTTAAACAGTTTCTACAGGCATCATACCAGAAACAAATAACTAATATGCTTCATTTTTAAGTAGTTATTTGCTTTTAATTTTTTTTTTCAACACTTTGGCTGCTTCCCACAAAGGCAGGGTAACCCCAAAAAAAGAAAGAAAAACTCAAAAAGAAAGAATAAATTTTCATTGTCATTCAACCCTTCACCATCACTCTTACATAATCACTGTCTTTGTAGAGGTGCTCAGATACGACAGTTTAGACATCCCTCCAAACTGCCAGTATCCTAAACCTCTCCTTTAAAGTGCGGGCATTGTACTTTCCATTTCCAGGACTCAAGTCCGGCTAACCAGTTTCCCTGAATTCCTTCACAAATATTACCCTGCTCACACTCCAACAGCTCGTCAGGTTCCAATTACCATTCGTCTCCATTCACTCCTATCTAACGCGCTCACACACGCTTGCTGGAAGTCCAAGCCCCTCGCCCACAAAACATCCTTTACCCCCTCCCTCCAACCTTTTCGAGGACAACCCCTACCCCACCTTCCTTCCCTACAGATTTATACGCTCTCCATGTCATTCTACTTTGATCCATTCTCTCGAAATGACCAAACCACCTCAACAACCCCTCTTCTGCCCTCTGACTAATACTTTTATTAACTCCACACCTTCTCCTAATTTCCACACTCCAAATTTTCTGCATAATATTTACACCACACATTGCTTTTAGACAGGACATCTCCACTGCCCCCAACCACCTCTTCGCTGCCACATTTACAACCCAAGCTTCACACCCATATAAGAGTGTTGGTACTACTATACTTTCATACATTCCCTTCTTTGCCTCCATAGATAAAAATTTTTGTCTCCACATATACCTCAATTCTCCATGATACGAACTTCTTTTCCGTAATCATGCGTGATTAAAGTCAACTAAAATGCACGAGAGCAAGGGGCTAAAGTACCCAACCCTTCTCCCTTGATATAAATTTCTAAATTTAAAATGAGTACAACCTTTCGTTTTTCTTTTGCCACCCTGCCTTGGTGATACGCCGTTGTTGAAAAAAAACAAAAAAAAAAAAAATTACCTCATACACAACTCGCCTTTTCACTTCTTCCATTCTGTATTATATCCTCCATAATTATAATCTATCTGCGACACTCAGCTCCCAAACACCTGAAAACATTTCACTTCTTACATACTCCTCTTCCAATTTGATTATCCAATTTTCATTGATCTAAATCATTTGATACCCTAACACCTACCTTTTTATGTTATCCCTTTCAACTTTCTACCTTTACCACACTCCTCAAACTCATCCACTAACCTTTGCAATTTTACTTTAGAATCTCCCATAAGCACAGTATCATCAGCAAAAAGCATCTGTGTCACTTCCCATTTTGTATTTGATTCCCCATAATTTAATCCCACCTCTCTCCCAAACACCCTAGCATTTACTTCTTTAACAACCCCATCTATAAATATATTAAACAACCATGGTGACATTACACATCCCTGTCTAAGACCTACTTTTACTGGGAAGTAGTCTCCCTCTCTTGTACACACCCTAACCTGAACCTCACTATCCTCACAAAAATTCTTTACAGCATTTAGTAACTTACCACCTATTCCATATACAGTGGTCCCCCGATCTACAATATTAATCCATTCCTGAGAGCCCATCATAAGGCGAAATGATCGTAGGTTGAATTAATTTTCCCCATAAGAAATAATGGAAATCAAATTAATCCGTGTAAGACACCCAAAAGTATGAAAAAAAAAAATTTTACCTCATGAAATATGCATTTTCTGCTCTACTTAATGAAGAATAAATGACATTTACCTTTATTGAAGATGCAGCAATGACTGATGAGACACTGTGTCCTGGGAGTGCCTTTTCCTCATGAGTAATGTAGGTCCTGTTTGGCATTTTCTTCCAAAACAGGCCTTATCACACTGTGTATGCCACAACGATTCTTAAATCTTTCAAACCAACCTTTGCTGGCCTTAAATTCACTAATGTGAGCACTAGTTCCAGGCATTTTTTCCTGTTCACCTGGGTGTTAGTTGCCTGGTGTGGGTTGCATCCTGGGAGATGAGATTAAGGACCCCAGTGGAAATAGTTAGACAGTCCTCGATGACACACTGACTTTTTTGGGTTATCCTGGGTGGCTAACCCTCTGGGGTTAATTGTTTTTCGGTATTCTCAATAAGCCACACCAACAACGGTGCTACAGCAGCAGCAGAAGCTGACGGTGCTACAGCAGCAGAGGCAGCTGACGGTGCTGCAGCAGCAGCTGACCGTGGTACGATAGTATTTCGATAATATTTCTCACCCTTTTTACCACAGGGTTGGCACTAGAAGATTTCTTTGGGCTCATGGTGGCTTATTTAGCAGTTAGAAGCACTAATAACACTGGAATAATAAAAAATATTCTGAATGTATGCTTGGGAGTGACAGCTCTGGCTTGTAAACATTGGCACACTAACTGAAGGCAGGCCAGCTGAGGTGCGCTCAGGCAGACAGACATGTGGATGCGTACTAGACGAATGCTGTAGACTGAGTTTTTCAATGTACTTCGGGGTCATTTTTCATGCTGAAAAGCATCATAGGTCAGTTTTAACGTAGTTTGGGGACATCGTACATCGTGGGTCAACTGTACTGCAACATCTGCCACATTGCTCCCCTATCCACTCTGTCATATACCTTTTTTAAATCCATAAATGCAATAAAAACTTCCCTACCTTTATCTAAATACTTATTCCTCTATAATTTTTACAATCTCTTTTGTCCCCCTTCCCTTTATATAAAGGGGCTATACATACATGCTCTCTGCCAATCCCTAGGTACCTTTCCCTCTTTCATACATTTATTAAAAAAAAAAACCAACCACTCCAACACTATATCCCCCATCCCCTGCTTTTAACATTTCTATCATGATCCCGTCAGTTCCAGGTGCTTTACCCCCTTTCATTCTATGTAATGCCTCACGCACCTCCCCCACACTCACATCCTGCTCTTCTTCACTGTTAAAAGATGGTATACCTCCCTGGCCAGTGCATGAAATTAGCACCTCCATTTCTTCGTTGACATTTAAAAGTTTCTCAAAATATTCTCGCCATCTACCCAATACCTCCAGCTCCCCATCTACTAACTCCCCTACTCTGTTTTTAACTGAAAAATCGTTCCCTAGGCTTTCTTAACTTGTTTAACTCACACCAAAATTTTTTCTTATTTTCATTAAAATTTCTTGACAATGCCTCTCCCACTCTATCATCTGCTCTTCTTTTGCACTCTCTCACAACTCTCTTCACCTTTCTTTTACTCTCCATATACTCTACTCTTCTTATAACACTTCTGCTTTGTAAAAACTTCTCATAAGCTACCTTTTTCTCTTTTATCACACCCTTTACTTCATCATTCTACCAATCACTCCTCTTTCCTTCTGCACCCACCCTCCTATAACCACAAACTTCTGCCCCACATTCTAATACTGCATTTTTTAAAAATATTCCAAACCTTTTCAACCCCCCCACTACTCATACTTGCACCAGCCCACCTTTCTGCCAATAGTTGCTTATATCTCACCCGAACTTCCTCCTCCCTTAGTTTATACACTTTCACCTCCCTCTTACTTGTTTTTGCCATTTTCCTCTTCCAGGGCCCTGATGCTGAGGATCATAAACCTGCATATGGAAGCACTGAAACTCTTATAAGTAATGATGTAATAGAAGCAGGATGGTTGTTTTTTGGCCCTATGCACTCTGTAATGGAGTCTATCAAAGCCACATCCCCAGATGGAGGTGCTAAGTCCCGCAGGTCTCCAGAGTACACTTGTGAGTTCATTGTTGTTTTTCCTGATGATTGTGGAGATGGAGAATGCAAATGTTAAAATAATGCATTCAGGTCAGTGAAACTAAGTTACTTTAGAAGAGTTTGAAGAATTGTCTTAATTTTCTCAAAGACAAATGTTATTTTCTTATTTAGAGGAATCTTATAAGCATTAATAAAGAACAGAATAAGTTTCAAATATTAAATCTGAAAATTTTTCATACAGGGTCTGTTGAGGTGACAAGAAAATTTATAAAGATTCGTGGAGAGAAACATACGGAAATATCACAGAAAGGCCACAATGCAGTTTATCAGTAAGTTCTCTAAATTCATTGTGTATTTGATAATTCAATGTATAATGGTATCTAATTTTATATTTTTTTACTTAAGTGTTAAGTTAAATGTGAGTTTGTAGTGACAATTAAGGTCTGCCATAATTAAGTTAGTAAGATGAACTACCAATTTTAACACTTTTGAATATGTTAGTTACTTAATGAGTAGCATGTGAGACCAGTATATACATAGTCTCGAGTTTTTAAATACAGTGGAACCTCTACTTACGAGTGCATCCACATGCAAGTTTTTCCAGATACGAGCATCTGCTTGGCCAATTTTTTGCTTCCAGACGCAAGCAAAATTTCCAGATGCGAGCGGGCCTCAAGGGAGGTTAATTGACACTGGTGAGGGGGCTCTTGCTCTTTATCTAGGGAATTGGATCTCATTTGTTTGTTGGACTATCTTACTGAAACTTGGGCAATGTATGATGAAAAGATGCTTCTTAACGTATACCAAAAATGAAAGAAATTGGACCATAAATAACGGAGTTCACTTCTCAGCCATTAGCCTCCCCTAAGCGGTATATTTTTGTATGGTTTTTATGGTTGTATTCTCGTTTTATTTGGTCTCATGTGATAGAATGGAAGATATACTACAAAAATAAATATGATTTTAATTGGTATCACGATGAAAAGTACCTTGAAATTGAGCAGAAAATAGCAGAAATGTTCGATTCTTTGGCGACATCAGTGGTAGACATCATGAGGTAGCAGTGGCAGACAACATGAAGCAGCAGTGGCAGACATCATGAGGTAGCAGTGGCAGACAACATGAAGCAGCAGTGGTAGACAACGTGAAGCAGCAGTGGCAGGCAACATGAGGTAGCAGTAGCAGACAACATGAAGCAGCACTGACAGACAACATGAAGCAGCAGTGACAGACAACATGAGGTAGCAGTGGCAGACAACATGAAGCAGAAGTGGCAGACAACATGAAGCAGAAGTGGCAGACAACATGAGGTAGCAGTGGCAGACATGAAGCAGAAGTGGCAGACAACATGAAGCAGCAGTGGCAGACAACATGAGGTAGCAGTGGCAGACAACATGAAGCAGCAGTGGCAGACAACATGAAGCAGAAGTGGCAGACAACATGAAGCAGAAGTGGCAGACAACATGAGGTAGCAGTGGTAGACAACATGAGGTAGCAGTGGCAGACAACATGAAGCAGAAGTTGCAGACAACATGAAGCAGCATTGGAAATAAATAGTATAAAATACCGACACAATGGAAATATAAACACATATGCAGTATATTGTGATCCTTTATTGACTACGTTTTGCCCACACAGTGGGCTTTTTCAAGTCACAAACAGATCTGTTTGTGACTTGAAAAAGCCCACTGTGTGGGCGAAACATAGTCAATAAAGGATCACATTATACTGCATATGTGTTTATATTTCCATGAAGCAGCAGTGGCAGGCATCATGAGGTAGCAGCGGCAGACAACATGAAGCAGCAGTGGCATGTAGCATTAAGAGTGTAGCATGAAGTGTAGCATTAAGAGTGTAGCATTAAGTGGCAGCATTAAGAGTGTAGCATGAAAGTGAAGCATAAGATGGAGCATCTTATAAGCTCACTCTGTCCTGACTTTTGTGGTTAGACCTAGGTTCAACAAGTAGCCAGGAGCAGTAATGGCACTGTAGTGGCCTAATAAACCCCAAAAACAAAATGGCCGCTGTTACCACCACTAGCCACATACTTAATGTATGTATTTAATTCATCTAGTGTATATATTGTTTCTATGTTATTATAATATTATGTCCATATCACTGAATTGTGATAGATAAATAACTGTAGAGATGAATTAGGGCAATTATTAAAGTATTTTTCTCGTGCCTTGAATTTCACTGGATACGAATTTATATTCCATATTCGTTAATTTAAATGAGGAAAATTGACTGCAAACGAGCAAATCCAGTTGCGAGCAAGGTCATGGAATGGATTAAACTCGTAAGTAGAGGTTCCACTGTACAGTATTCCAATATAGTGCATCATTATATGCAAAGAATTTATTCTGGGAGAAGCTTCTGATTAGAGGGGAGGCTGAGGCAGAAAAACGTAGTATCAGTGCAACTTTTCCACAATTATTTGATACAGATGTTGTGTTGAATGTTTGACTGAAGCTAGTTTTACTATTTTTTTTACTCTTAGTGGAGACTAATTGACTTCTTAATCCCATACAGACACTGAAAAGTGGACACACTTACTGGTCTTAAATCTGCTTGAGAATCTGCTTCATTTGAAGATTAAGCATTTTTTTTTTAATTTTTTTCTTTTGGGGGGAGGGGGGTTGAAAAACACTATGATAATTTGGCATAGTTATCTTCAGTACGGTAGTACAGAAAATGAAAATGTTGTCAAGTTTGTACAGTAGTTCCCAACAAAATGCTGGTGAAACAAGTGGTACAGTTTTTATTGTTGTATTCGAAGGTACTGTAGCATGTGCTGTATTGAGCAGGGCCTTGCTCCACACACACTCTCACACTGTATTTTCCACTGTTTACCCACACTATTTTTTCTTGCCCCCTCCTCTCTCTCTACCTTTCTCCATTTTCCCTATGCCATCCTTACTTCACTTCCCTTTTTTTTACCTTTCCCCACCCCCCACTAGGGATGTGCATTCAGATGGTTGTTAATACATCCCTTTTCAGTAAATTTAATGCTCTCTTGAGGTTCAGTTTTAATACTGTACAGTATGCCTTTGCTGAATGATCCACTGCTTTGCTGCTGAGAAGGACCTCAAAACAAGCCGGTTTGGTTGAAGTCTAATAGCTGTCTCGGTGCAAGTACATCTCACAGGCACTTCAGCAACAAGGCAGTGGAGAGTGCTACCTATGGCAGGGATAAACACAGGAACACCACAGGTGTTCAGTGCACGTGCCTAAATCAGTGCATTCTACAATAAATTGGCTTGCTACAGCAAAATATGTTAACACAAGTGGCAAGACACCACAGATTAGCTAAATGTTCTGTAGAGAAGGAGGAATCCCAAGTTGTTGACACAAACAGCAGGGGAACTTGGTGATCAATTCATCAGCAACTTGGGTTTGTTATAGTAAATAAACTGGCAGGTGGGCAGCCATCTTGGATGGCTACATGGGAGCAGAATCTGTGTAGCACCACTAGGAAACAGGCCTTAAATAATGGATACATATGAATTACTTCACAAACTTTACTTGTTCATAGGGCTCCATTGAATATGCAGGCCATTGTGAGAATGGAGGTGGTTTGAGACAGTGACCCTGCCTCTGCTTATATTACCCACTGCATTGGGTTACATAGGTGGAATACTTCAACTCAGCAGTAGAGGGAGGTGGGGAGGAGTGGCCTGGCTGACTGGCAGTAGTGAGTGACATGAATGTATTGAGTCAAGCCCAGCTGAATCCAACTCCAGTCTTGCTTTATTTGAGCTACACCCACTTGGGTTTCACAGAGCTATGTTGAATAAAGAGTACAGGGACACCCATTGGCTTGCAAGAGAAAAATCAGTGGCTTAAACCTGGATATATAAAGCTGGCTTAAATGGGAATACTGCAGAACAGCAGAAGAGCACTCTGATTATCTGGGGCATGGGCATATTCAGAAGATGTAGCTGAGGGGTAGTAAGCCCATTTAGAGAGAGAGCTTGATACTGGTGACTTAGAAATCATAGGTAGCTTGGCTGGCTTCCTATCTGTTCCACCCTCCATCTCATTGGCTCGAAAAAATGTGAGGAAATATACATAAAACTACAGAAACCAAGGCTGGACACCTGGTGCACAGCAATGACAGGATGGCTTAACTGGGTTAATGGCAAATAGCAGTCTGGCACAGAGAAAATGGTCACAGTATTCCAATTTTGTTTTGTAACACCTGTTCCTCAGGCCTCTCTGTTCAAAATTGGTTTGCCTACACCCCATGCTGGATGTCTCCTGGACATACGAGTAATGGTAAAGTGCCACCATCTGACTTACTGCTCTACTCAACAGTTGCTGCATTCCTATTTCTCAGACACAAAGTACTGACATTTCACACCCAGGATGGTTGTGCCATTACTCCCTCCACATTGAGAGAAGACCCTCTGATGCAGATCCTCCATCTACTCTCACCTGACAACTCTCTTCTCACTTTCCAACACTTGGACTTAGTGCAAGACTCTTAAATTGAAACCCAGCCATAAGATTTTATTCAAAATATGCTCAATGGACTCCCCACTCCCCACTCTATTATTTATTTCTTATAATATTATAAACAAGTTTAGAGTGGTATTTAAGGAGATATGGTTAAAACATTTCAATCTGCATTACTTGATACATAAATTTATTTTTCCAGGGATATTCTTGAGAAGCTTGGAATAGCAGACAGGGTCAGTGTGATGATGGCTCGGAAAAAATGGAACTACTTGGTCAAGAGATATCAGGTTGGAATTGTGAGAGCTTAATTTTGTAATTGTTTAAGACTTTCTAATAAAATCACATGTAGATTATGAAATTTAAACAGTAATTGATGAGAAAGAGCTAGTGTGTTCAATCTTTAAACTGTATTCAGCATACTAGTACACAACTGATGACTGTGTCCATCATATCTTCAAATCTACCGCCTGCCAATATTTTTGACCTTGTCACAGCTCTTTGAGTCTTCTACTATTTATTCATACATTTGAAAAAAAAATTAAGGCCAGGAGGGTCCACACATTGCATCATGGTTAACTATACAGGTGATAACTTTGTTTGACATATTGGTACCCCTCACTAGCATAAATAAACAATGAAATCAGCTGTTGTTCCACCACCAATTTCCCTACTAGCAAACAGGGTGTGGAAGTGGCATGAAGATGATTTATTCATTCTAAATTTATTACAATTTCATGATACTAACAGTGGAATTCAGCCACAAAGCACACTAAGTATATTTAACACAGGATATGCTGGTAAAGTCAAACACTATGACTTGTTTCCATTTTTGAGAAGTATTACACTCTGAAACAATTGTAATATTATAAGTATTCCTTGTACACAGTGTTAGAAGACCAAAACAAGTGATCATTTTTTTTTGCCAACTTCAATACACCATGAAATTGTAATTTTTTATAAGATTCCACTTATTTTAGTCTTATCCGATTCAGGAAAATACTCTTTCATTCTATATATTTTTTTTTTTAATCTTTCCACACTCAACAGTTTTTATTTGTGAGTCTCCTACAGTTGAGGGGTCAAGATTGACCTCTTATCATTTATACTTAATAAATTAATTCCTAACCCTGTATCTTAGTTCTTATGTTTAGGTTCTGATAAACATTTAGTACTATCTCACATTGTGACAATATTGGACCTCCATATCAATTTTAGCTTGATATGCCTCTTTCACCCTCTGTAATGTTAGGATGGGGTGAGCCACTTTTTCTCCTCATCTGTGTTTTGAATACCCAGTTCAAGAGACCCCCAGTCAACAACAACCATTGTCAAGGCAATTAACATCTCTCCTTTTTACACAACATGAAAAACTCCTAGGCTGCTGATAGTAGAAAACTTTGCTTTAGAGTAAGAAAAATTACTTATTTTTTCTGATAGGGAACATAGAGGTCTTTGGTTTCCACCTTCTGCTAAAACTGTTGGCAGAACACAAACCTCACACACTGAGTGACTGTGGTTCAATCCCCAGCAAGGGTGGAAATGGTGGGCATGTTTCTTTACACCTGCTGTCCCTGTTCACCTAGCAGTAAGTAGGTACCTGGGTGTTAGTCAACTGGTGTGGGTCATATCCTGGAACACAAGATTGAAGGACCCCAATAGAAATAAGAGAGACAGTCCTCAATGATGCACTGACTTTCTTGGGTTATCCTGGGTGGCTAACTTTCTGGGTTAAAAATCCAAACAAATATTATTTTATCTTATATTGTTTCTGGATTAGGGAGTTAGTTAGATCTCAGTTGTTGCCTGTTCACTACATTTAAGTAACATCTACTGTACAGGATAGTACAGATTTGTTGCATTTTTTGTTACTATAACAGTTATTTCCCACCAGTGTAGGGCAACCCAAGGAAAGAAATGCATTTAGTTGCACTCAGTAACTTTTAAGTATAATTACAGTGGACCCTCGACCAACGATATTAATCGGTTCCAGAGAGCTCATCGTTAGACGAAATTATCGTTAGTTGAATTAATTTTTCCCATAACAAATAATGGAAATCAAATTAATCCATTCAATACACCCAGAAGTATGAAAAGAAATATTTTTACCACATGAAGTATACATTTTCCTACACACAAACAGAAGGATAGATGCACAATACATGTATACATATGTATATTGTGTGATGAAGAATAAATGACACTTACCTGGCCTTAAATTCACTCACATCACCACCAGTTGCAAGCATTTTTTTAATTAAATCAATGATGCAACTGCCTTGCATTTTCACATATGATCTCTTGAGAGATGCTATCCTGATATCTGTTTTTCATTTATCCACATCAATAACAGTCTCTCCAACATCTTTGAGTACTTGCAATCTGTGTTTCGAAAAGATACTTGCACCTTTTGCAACAACAGCTTCCTTGATTGCCTTTCTGTTGGCCAAGATAGTAGCGATGGTTGATTGGGGTTTGTTATACAACCTGGCCAGCTCGGAGACACGCACTCCAGTTTCATACTTTGTGATGATCTTCTTCATTTCAGTTGTAATTCTCACCCTTTTTACCACAGGGTTGGCACTAGAAGCTTTCTTGGGGCCCATGGTGGCTTATTGCAGTTACAACCACTAAACACACTGGAATAATACAAAATGTACCGAATGTATGCGTGGATGCGACCGGACTGGCTTGTAAACACTGGCACACTAATGGAAGGCAGGGCAGCTAAGGCGCACTCAGGCCAGGTGGGACACGTGGACGCGTTTGGGACGAATCATGTTGGTCGAGTTTTTCATCGTTGGTTGGGCCAAAATTTTTACGCTCAGACGCTTCATTAGTTGAATTTATTGTTAGACGATGCCTTCATTGGTCGAGGGTCCGCTGTACACTATAAAATTTTTGTAATTAATTTATGGCAGGCCTTTCTTCGTGATCAATATATATTTCTAGGATGAAGAGATGGCTGGAGGAGAGAGGACCTGGGCTTTCATGAAGGAAATGGGACAAGTTATGAAGCATTTCCGAGGTGCTAATGTGAACAAGTTGAAATCTCGTGCATCACCAGAATTTTTATGTTAGTAAGGATAACTGTAGTAAATTTATCGCTTGACTTTTATTGCATTTTCATTCTGATCAATTTTAATGTTAACAATTTCCTACATAAAATTTAGTAAAATGTAAAAGAGAAGTAGAATGCCCATAATTTGTTTCATTAAATTTATTTTCATTTGTTAAAACTTTCATTGCCCATCACGTAGAACTACTTCACTGAGGCCAGGGTCCCTTACGTAGTTCTACATCATGAGCTCGCCTCACTCAGATCAGCTGAGTGGTATATTTTGACTTAGATATGAATGAATGGTTTTGCACAGTGGGTGTGCAGTATAAAAAAAAAGTCCTACCCTATGCAGGGCATAATGGGAAAAGCGGAACTTCAACCATATGTTTAGTTTGAAATAGCGACTTTGAGGTATTTTCTAGATTGGTTTTCATGGTTTTAGTGGTTGTTTTTTGGTATCATTTGAGAGAGTGGAAGACATACTACTGCAATAGAGATGATTTTAGTTGGTTTGAAGATTGGAAGTGGCTTGAAATTGGGCTCAATGTAGCAGAGCTATTTATTTTTTGCTGATTTTTCCAAGAACAGATAAGGCCCACTACACCCCCCAGTCTGTTTTATGGGTTTTTAATAGATCTGATTCAATTATCAAGACACCATAAACCATGACAGATCATCCCTGTTATATGTTATTATCCAGTAATAGAGTAAATCTTGTATTTTTGCATGATTATGAATTCAAAATGGAAGGCAAATGTAATATAGGAGAGCCCTGGAACATGATTAATGAACAAAAGAAATGTTTTAGTGCCAGGAATATCTACATTGTTTATTTTACACTATTTTCAAATTAGTATTTCTTTTTAATTTTGTGTAAAATTGGCCAAATTACTAACTTTTGTGTGCTTTATAGGGCAAGTATATTAGATGAATGATTGGTTTCCAATTGATAGAACAAAAGGCACACTAGTGGAATAGATAAGAATTTGGTCAAATGGAGCAATGGAATTGACTTAAAATAAGATTCAAAGTGCGCAAAATAGGCATTTCATTAATTGTGCTTTGACCACTAAATTTGCACCTGTATAATTCTATAAGTTATCCATCAAATTTCATAATTTTTGCATCATTACCTTCAGAAAAAGATTTTCTGCAATTTCTGAACACTGGGAGCATTATTAATTTCAGGGGTCTGGACAGTAAAAGGGTTAACCCTTTCATTGTCTGTGCCATAGTACTATGGGTTTGAGGTCATTGTTGGTGCCGTAGTACTATACCATGAGCTCAGCTCACTCATATAAGCTGTGAGTGGTAAATTTGGGCCTAGATGTGAGAGAATAGGTCTATGCAGTATGTGTGCATCATATAAAAAAATCCTGCAGCACACGGTGCATAATGAGAAAAAATTGTGAATGTTTTGGTTTAAAATGGCAACTTTGCTGTGTATTTTCGTATAGTTTTTAAGGTTGTATTCTTGGTTTCTTGGTGTCATTTTATAGAATGGAAGATATATTAGAGAAATAGAGATGATTTTGATTGGTTTCAGGACTGAAAATAGCTTGAAATTGAACTCAAATTAGCAGAAATGTTCCTTTCTTGCCAATATACAAGAGTGAAGAAATCACATCACTTGTCCAATACATGTTTAACTGGTTGCTCTTATATGTGTTCACAAATGCACTGATATTGTTTATATAATTATTACAATATTGCTTAACCCTTAAACTGTCCAAGCAGATTTACGTTCACACGCGTAGTGCTCCAAAAGTAGATCTATGTTTTTTTACATATTTTCAAATATAACAAAAAAAAAAAAAGGTAGATCAAAGTTTTTTTACATGTTTTTAAATGTAAAAAAAAAGAAAATCTACTTTTTTTACATACTTTCAAATGTTGAAAAAACGTAGATCTACGTTTGGACAGTTTAAGGGTTAATAGTAAATCTTCATTTCTTTGTGTCCGTAAAAATTCTTTGTGTGAATAAAAAATAAAAATTAAATTCATGTGTAAAGCCTGGGAACATAACTAATGAACAAAGGAAATTTTATTTTAGTACCAGGAATGCCTGCATTGTTTATTCTGGACCCTGTTTTGAAACTGGAATATTTTGAAATTTGTATGAAATTGGCTAAATTACCTATTTCTGATTACTTTGCTGAGTAGTTAAAATAGTTGATTGGGCAGTTTCTAGTGCTCATTTGATAAAATGGAAGATGTTCTAGGGAAATAGCTAAGAATTTGGTCTACTGGAACAATGTAATTGGCCTAAAATAGGACTCAAAGTGGACAAAATAGTCGATGCATAAATATCACCGACACAACAAAATTTGCAAAAGCGTAATCTATCTAACTCCCTCCCTCCCCTCCCTCCCTCCCCTTTTCCTCTCCCACCCCTCCCTCCCCTCCCACCCCTCCCTCCCTCTCCTCCCCTCTCCTCCCCTCTCCTCCCCTCTCCTCCCCTCTCCTCCCTCCCCTCTCCTTCCTCTCCTCTCCTCCCTCCCCTCCCCTCCCTCCCCTCTCCTCCCTCCCCTCTCCTCTCCTCCCTCCCCTCTCCTCCCTCCCCTCTCCCCCTCCCCTCCCTCCCTCCCCCTCCTCCCTCCCCTCTCCTCCCTCCCCTCTCATCCCTCCCCTCTCATCCCTCCCCTCTCACCCCTCCCCTCTCCCTCCCCTCCCCTCCCCTCTCCTCTCCTCCCCCCTCTCCCTCCCCCCTCTCCTCTCCTCCCCTCCCCCCTCCCCTCCCCTCTTCCCTCCCTCCCTCCCCCCTCCCTTCCCCTCCTCCCTCTCCTCTCCTTCCCCCCTCCCTCCCTCTGTCCCTCCCTCCCCTACCCCCCTCCCCTACCCCTCTCCCCTCCCCCCCTCCCCTACCCCCTTCCCCTACCCCCCTCCTCTCTCTCTCTCTCTCTCTCCCTCCTCTCTCTCTCTCTCTCTCTACACAGGGTTTGACAAGGTTAAGTTAACCCTTTGACTGCCCGGGGGCCGTATATATACGTCTTCGGGGTCCCGTGTTTGACAATATACTCTAAATTCTAGCGGCTTCAAATCAAGGAGGAGAAAGCTGGTAGGCCCACATGTGAGAGAATGGGTCTGGTGGTCAGTGTACACCATATAAAAAAAATCCTGGAGCATCCAGTGCATAATGGCAAAAAAAAAACTCGGCCCGTTTTTTTAATTAAAATGCCGATTTTGTGATCTATTTTCGTATAGTATTTATGGTTGTATTCTCGTTTTTTGGTTCATTTGATAAAATTGGAAAACAATTATAAAAATTGAGGTGATTTTGACTGTTTTTTCCATAAAAAAAAACCTGGAAATGGAGCTCAAAGTGGGGGAAATTTGTTCGTTTTGCCGATGTTCAAAAGTAAACAAATATTCATTGTCCAATAAATTTCCAACTAGCCTTTTCTAATATGCAGTCATGAAGGGGTTAAATGTCTTTTCACACAATTATTACAGTATTCAGTAGTCTGCAAAAAGTAAATTCTTTTTTTTGTTTGAATTAAAAAAATTCAAAATAAAAGAAGAGTAAAATGAGGGGGGCCTGGAACATGACAAATAAACCCAAAAAAAAAATGTTTTTTTTAAAAGCCAAAAAGGAATGTCTGCATTGTTCTTTCAGACCTTATTTTGAAATTTATATTTTTTATTTTTCTTGAAATGGGAAAATGCAAATTTCTGACCACGTTATTGGGTAGGGGGAAATTTGGGTAAAGGGGGTTTTTTTCTTGAAATTCCAATCGTTTAAAAAAGGGGAAAAGTTCTAAAGAAATAGCTTGGGGTTTCGTGGGGAACGGGAAAAAAAAAATTTGGCCAAAATGGGGCTCAAATTGGGCGAAATCCCCGTTTGAAAATATTCCCGAGGTCCCCTAATTTCCCGGAGAGCGTAATTCCGTCATTTTTTCCTTTTTTTCCAAAATTTCTTTTTTTTTGGTTTCCTTTAAATCAAAAAGGGTTTCTATTCATTTCTTTAAGAAAAAAAAAATTTTTTTTTTTAAATTTTGGGAACCCCCAGGAAAACACCTCGGGAAATTGGGGGGGGTTGCAAACAGTAAAGGGGGGTTAAGGGCCCCTTGGGTTTTATTAAACAAGTATTTACAATTTAAGGTTTCCTAACTTTTTTTGTTTAAGCAAGGCTGAAAACCTGCACCCGCTCATTTAAAGCCTTTTTTTGTTAGGAGACATACAATAGGGAACAGGATGTTTTTGGGGAACCACGGGGGCCCAAAAAAAACTTTTTTCTTTTGATAATGACTTTATCTATTGACATTATAAGGGTGTACGAATGGTTACTTACCGGGGGTAACCGGGAAAAAATGATCTCAGTTTAAAAGTAAATTTCTAGAGAAGGTTTAAGCCAAAAGTAAATTTTTTGCTGCTTTCTGCCTATTTTGGGGTACAGAAGCTTGCTTAAACGTGTCCCCCGAAGGGGACCCAAGTGTTTTACTTTGACAATTTTTGGGCCTTGTACAAAACTTTAAGACCACCCACACCCCTTCCTGTGTTAAAGGCTCGCGGAAAGGGACAGTTTAATCCAGATTTTTTAGGAAGTGGAATAGTTGGCAAGCGATGAAAGTAGGGGCAGGAATAATACATATTTTTAAACCCCTTTTCAGGATCCAGGGGCCCAAATTTTCAAATGGCCCAAAAGGCCCCAAAATTTTTAAAAAATTTTTTTTTTTTTTTTATGAAATGGTAGAAAATCTTTTGAAGATAAAAAAAAACAAAAAGTGCGAAAATTTTTTTTTTTTATGGAAAAATTTAAAGAAATTATTTCTCCACGAATATTGAGTGTCAGGAATTTACGCATTGGCATTTGGGCCAAAATTTTATTTTTTTTTTACGTCAATTACTTATTCCCAACAAAAATTCTTAGGATTTTACAAATATTACTTCTTTAAATCGATTTTGCACCCAAAAAATCGCCCAAGTCAATTGTTTCAACTACAAAAAAAATGATCAGAAATTGGGAATTTGGCCAATTTAAAAACCTAAAATTCAAAATATTCCAATTTTCCAAA